TTATTTATTTATTTATTTATTTTGTGCTCATCTTCTAAGAATCCCCTTATGGTTCCTTATTTTAAAAGAAACTGTAAATTTATACCTGATTACAGTGTTTTCCCTTTGTATTTTGTTTCTCCCTGCCCATCTTTTGCCAAGTTCCACTCCGGGTCTCAATCCAAGAACCCAAGATAAAACTCAACACACTAAATTGGTTAGAGGCCTCTGACCCCATATGTACTGAAATGAAATTTCAACCTGTAAGGCGTGGGGGTGGGGGGAGGGGGAAGGTTAAGTATGGAATAAGTTTGTGTGGTCCTACATTCTTGATCATGGACCTTGAATTCCCCTGGCACTTCTATAAGTTTACCAAATAGCATATGGTCTTACTGAAACCAAAAATTTCATCCAGCCTTACCTGGGTGAAAGGAACTATGTTCCAAAATGCCTAGACCTGTGAATGGTATTGAGAATGTCCCACACCCAGTCCCCACAACAGTGGCCCATTTTAATTCTCCATTACAAGTCCAGATAATGAATATTGTCAGCCTAGTATTCCAACCCACTGCAGGGTGCCCAGCAACCGAGCTGCAATTAACTTCACAAAGCATTCACACTGGCATTACTAATCTCTGGGCCACACAGTGCTTTTTCCTGTATGATCCCAGTTTATTACTAGCAAAATACCATCTCTGAAAAGGGCTACAGAGATTGCACAGAAAGAAACCCCTACCCCTACCTAGAGCCAATCTTTCAAGGAGGGAGAACTCCCATCCAACCGCAAAGTTCCACTCAGTTCCAACTCCAAACATGGCAGTTTTAGCATGAGGTGGACAGCTGTGTCCTAGCCTGAGCCAAAAAGTTAGTCCCTAGCCCATATTAACCATTGTACTGAGGCCCTGCAAAGGCATCGGTTAAAAATGGTTTGAGGGTGAGGAAAAATACTTTCTAACTGGCTGCCTGTACAGCTCCAAATTGCTGCCATCCTGGGCAGCTGGCATTCAATATACCTATACTTACTTGCCCCAGGGTCCTTCCATATTATTCAGAGGCTTTCCTACTTACACCTAGTTTGCATGATAGCTGGCCTACTGCCAAATAAGAACATGAGGAATTTATGGAAAAACTCAAGTGGAGGTGACTCCACCCAAGGTCCTTTGGTCCTCATCCCTGTGCTACAGAAGCTCAAGATGCCACTCAGGGAGGTGGGTTTAGAGAGGTGCTGGAAAATGCCTTTCCCTCCCATTTACTGAAAGGGGAACCTTCTCTTAACTTATTTTCTTAAAATCTATAAAATCTACACAAAAATGAAACAGAAGTACTATCTGAACTTAAGAAAAGAAAAATCTAAACTTAAGACAAGGCTGAATGAAATAGAAATCTTGAGTTGTACAAAGCAAGGAATTGTCAGTGTAGAGCAGACACATAAAACATTTCCTAATGCTGAAGGAAAGAAAAAATCACTGATTTTTTTTTACGTATTAGAGTCCCAAAGAAGAAAAAAACCTAACTCTCTTGAGGAAAACAAGAGGTCAAAGATTGCCCTGAGATGCTTTTAGCAGGAACTCTCTCAAGGCAGAGTACCATGCAATTTTCATTATTTATTTATCATTGTTGAAGGGTTTTGGTTCCATAATATTTGCCCACAATGCATTTGAAGGTTACTGGAAAGTCTTTTCTCCTTTGAACAAAATGGCTATTCACTAGACTACGTGAAACATTAAAAGCATAAAGCACAGAAGTGGGATAGCTTTTGGTCTGCTTTACAATCCTGTGCAGCCATCCTTCCCATGAAATATGCAGGGAATTTATATGAATAAGGTTTTGATATGGTCAGACGAAGACAAATGCTCAACCTAACTTAAGATGAACATTTACAACTACCCTTTTGTAAATGCAGAAAGTGGTCTGAGGGCATCTTTATTGGGATGAGAGGATGTCACTATGTGAACAATTAGAATTTTGGCTGTAGTCATAGGTGCTGGAACTAGTGGTGCTGGGGGGTGCTGCTGCACCCCCTGGCTTGAAGTGGTTTCCATCATATACAGGATTTACCATTTGGTTCAAAGGCTCTCAGCACCCAACTATATAAATTGTACCAGCAGACCTGGATGTAGTACCATGAAACAAATGTGAGCAGTAAGGATGTGTATCCTGCTCTCAGGGAGGATTTGGAGATCAGTTATTTAGTATGAGCCTGATCCAAAACTGACTGAGGTCAGTAGGCGACTTTCCATCTACTTCAGTGGGCTTTGGGTGAGAATCTGTTATTCAGAGGCCTGGGGGTAGCTACTAGGTTCAAAACAACTACTAGGAGTATCATGCCACACTTAATTGTGAGGGGTTTCTCCCCTTCACTGGAGGCTAAGGGCTGGGTTAACAAGAATCTTCTCTGGTTTGCATCCAGGAACCAGGAAGCTTAGGGTCAGTATTGTATGGTCTACTCTCTTCCCTACAAGAAAGCACAGTGAAGATAGCAGCAGACTATACTTCCCCAAACCAAATACAGGGGCCATCGGTTCTTCTCTTCCCTGCATGTTAGGGAGGTGCTGGAGAGCTTCATTCCCCTCCTTGTATGTCAGAGGAATGGGAGGAGCTACTAGATTCATAGATTCATAGATATTTAGGTCAGAAGGAACCTTCAATACCTGTAGCCCAGTCATGACTACTATTCCACCCGGAGGGCCTCCTGCTGCTCCGGCCACCGTCAGGGGGTGGGAGGAAAGCCCTGGGGGGCCAGCAGCTGCTTTGACAGCCCCGGGATCGCTGCCAGGAGCCTGTGAGATCTAGCTGCTCCCGCTGCCCCCAGGACTGCTGCTTAGGTGGTTCCTGGGGCCAGTCCCATCAGCCACAGGCTAGGGCTCCAGAGCAGTGTCTGGTGTGGCTGGCTGTAGGACCACCTGAGCGGCTGGCTGGAGAGCCACTCCAGGAGCTGCCAGTATGGCTGTCCCCAGGGCTGCCTGGGCTGTCTCCTGGGGTCAGCCACACCGGCCGCTGCGGAAGTCACGGAGGTCACAGAAAGTCACAGAATCAGTGACTTCCATGACCTTCGTGACAGACATGGAGCCTTAATCATTATCCATGTATTGAGCTATTGTGTGAAGAGTTGATGAACAGTTCTGTCCTGATGTTTGAATGAGGCATCTTATGATTTGTATACGGGAGTAGTTGGAAAAACTTATAATACGTTCCAAGAAATAACTGTTAAGAGTAACTTAATAAATACATATTTTTCTTTGATTTCCCCCTTTCTCACACAACTGTAATGACATGGTACATATCATTTCCAGTAAGAAAGCTCTTTAAAGTTGGACAGATAGGAATGTTTATCTATTAGAGTGCACTTTCAGCTTTGTTTTCATTTAAATATCACCAATCAGCCACAAAGTTCCAAAAGCTCTTTACAAACTCGATGCATGTAGCACCACTGAAATGCAGCCATCTCTGGGGTACTGGGTAGCACAGCACACAGCTGAAGTGGTGGTGAAGGGGTGAAATTGGCTACGGGTGGTCACTTTTCCAATCTCTTGATTCCAGCCTGGCTGTGTACCAAGTTATGCCCCTAGAGAAACTTTAGAGAAACTTTAGGACTATTCTGCATTACCCTAGATGACAATGCTTCCAAGGGCAGCTGGGGATTGAGGCACACTGAAATTGTGACCAAACCCCCTTTCCGTTGGCCATATTACATCCCCTTACATCAGCTGTGAAGAGAAGGGGGCATCGAAGGAGGGATTACCTAGTTCTGTACCACTGAGGTCTCTCTCTCCATAGGGGAAATCCTCTCATTGATGTCTGTGCCAGCAGTGCAGTGCAAATCAGACTACTGGCAGCTCAGGATTTGGATTCTGCATTTTTAAGAAACGTGTTATGGGATCTTTAATACACATACCTATAGAACCTTGGATTCTGAAGTCTGATCTTAAAGACAAAAAGACCAAATGAAGTGTTAGAATTTTGCAGAAATCAGACAGAAGCCAAATGTATTGGAATCTGAAAGTGAAACATTAACACAATTAGTGGTAGCAATTTTATGTTTAAAACATAGAATCTATGTTTTAAAACATAAAAGGTTTAAAAAGAATCTCAACAGAAAGAGTAAATCAGTTTTTGCAGTTTTTTAAATGGTAAATTAAATATAAGGGAAATAATACTGTATGGGCAAAAACTGATTCTTCTGAGAAATACTTCATGGCCTGGTCCCGTCTTCATTTTTATGACTGGTTCAGCTGTATCCATCGCTGATATGTTGTCAAGCAACAAATAAATTCTGTATTACCGTTAAAGCTATAATATAGCGCTTATAGTACTACAATGCCCCTTAACAGCAGGTTCAGTGTTGACTCAAAGGAAAGAATGCCACCTGCTGAAGCAAAATTATGGATAGTTCACTTTCTATACAGCTCTTCCTAAATAAAATCCACAAAAGATTTATGGTTAGCATTAATTCTTCATCTCCTCTAGGAAGTAAAAACAAACAGGTGTTGCAAAATGTTCACCTTTTCTAAGGGAAAACTGTAATGTGATGGGTTTGATGGGGAAAAATGTTGAAAAGATTAGAATCTAGAGTACTGTTAACCTGTCTTGACACCACTGGAAGGTGATTCTGAATTTATTTCCTACTACTATGGAAAAATGATGAAGAATTTCTTGTCCTACAGTCAGTTTTGTTAAGTAAAAAAAGTGTTCATTCATAAATAAGTTTGCTTGAGGGATGCTTATAACTATTTTGTAGGAAGTGGTGATCAAAAGGACAATGAAAAGTTGTGAAACTGACAAAAGTAATTTTTGATGACATCTTCATCATCTGGACCCATGGAAAAGAAGCCCTTGAGGAATTCCACCATGATTTCAACAATTTCCATCCCACCACCAACCTCAGCCTGGTCCAGTCCACACAAGAGATCCACTTCCTGGACACTACAGTGCTAATAAACAATGGCCACATAAACACCACCCTATACCGGAAACCTCCTGACCGCTATTCCTACCTGCATGCCTCCAGCTTTCACCCTGACCACACCACACGATCCGTCGTCTACAGCCAAGCTCTGCGATACAACCGCATTTGCTCCAACCCCTCAGACAGAGACAAACACCTACAAGATCTCTGTCAAGCTTTCTTACAACTACAATACCCACCTGCAGAAGTAAAGAAACAGATTGATAGAGCCAGAAGAGTTCCCAGAAGTTACCTACTACAGGACAGACCTAACAAAGAAAATAACAGAACGCCACTAGCCGTCACCTTCAGCCCCCAACTAAAACCCCTCCAACGCATTATTAAGGATCTACAACCTATCCTAAAGGATGACCCAACACTCTCACAAGTCTTGGGAGACAGGCCAGTCCTTGCCTACAGACAGCCCCGCAACCTGAAGCAAATACTCACCAACAACCACATACCACACAACAGAACCACTAACCCAGGAACTTATCCTTGCAACAAAGCCCGTTGCCAATTGTGCCCACATATCTATTCAGGGGACACCATCACAGGGCCTAATAACATCAGCCACACTATCAGAGGCTCGTTCACCTGCACATCCACCAATGTGATATATGCCATCATGTGCCAGCAATGCCCCTCTGCCATGTACATTGGTCAAACTGGACAGTCTCTACGTAAAAGAATAAATGGACACAAATCAGATGTCAAGAATTATAACATTCATAAACCAGTCGGAGAACACTTCAATCTCTCTGGTCACACAATCACAGACATGAAGGTCGCTATCTTAAAACAAAAAAACTTCAAATCCAGACTCCAGCGAGAAACTGCTGAATTGGAATTCATTTGCAAATTGGATACTATTAATTTAGGCTTAAATAAGACTGGGAGTGGCTAAGTCATTATGCAAGGTAGCCTGTTTCCTCTTGTTTCTTCCTACCTCTCCCCCCCCCCCCCAGATGTTCTGGTTTAACTTGGATTTAAACTTGGAGAGTGGTCAGTTTAGATGAGCTATTACCAGCAGGAGAGTGAGTTTGTGTGTGTATGGGGGTGGGGGGGATGTGAGAAAACCTGGATTTATGCAGGAAATAGCCCGACTTGATTATGTAAAGAGTTGTCACTTTGGATGGGCTAGCACCAGCAGGAGAGTGAATTTGTGTGGGGGGGTGGAGGGTGAGAAAACCTGGATTTGTGCTGGAAATGGCCCACCTGTTGATCACTTTAGATAAGCTATTACCAGCAGGACAGTGGGGTGGGAGGAGGTATTGTTTCATATTCTCTGTGTATATATAAAGTCTGCTGCAGTTTCCACGGTATGCATCTGATGAAGTGAGCTGTAGCTCACGAAAGCTCATGCTCAAATAAATTGGTTAGTCTCTAAGGTGCCACAAGTACTCCTTTTCTTTTGACAAAAGTAAATTTCTGTCCATGTTGAAAGGTGGAGCCTCACTTGTATTTGTTCCCAACAAGAAATATGAAATAACTACAATATGTTGTGACATATTGTTTCTTCTAAGATGCACATACAGCTGTCTTTGAACTCCTTGTTCAATGGCATACTAACATCAGAATAATCAGACTAGCCACTACTGCATGAGTTCAGGATCTTAGTAGAAGAGCTAGTTGGGAATTTTTCAATTAACCATTTTAATTGGGAAATGCAGATTTATCAAAATGTATACCTTGATGCATTTCTTGACTTCAATTTTTTCAAAATGTTTTCAAAATAGTCAGTGCTTCACTTCAGCATTCAAAATTTCTGTTTTTCAAACTGATCTTCTTTTTCCTAATTTAAGCTAATTATAATGTTAAAAAAAATTACCATGGTCATCATCCATCCATCCATCGGTTATGGATTCTCATTTCACAAAAACCTGAGAATTTGACTGGAAATTGTCCCTTTTCAAATAGGGACAATCTCAAATTCTGCCTACTGTAGCTGCTGAACAATAGAAAAGACCTGAGATGGGAAGGAATCTCATGCTGCCCCCACCACAAGAGAGCCCAGCACAGAAATCCAAGCCAGGAAGTGACTCTTTCTTCCTTCCTTTGTTCCTTCCCTTTCCATTTAAAGTATGTTTTAAAATATAGAAGCATGGAATACGAATGAAAACCCCATATTGTTAAAATAAACAAGGCTTTACCAGATCCTTCTGGAAAGACAGTCTATCACCTATGATTTGGAGAAAATAGGATTAGTGTTGGTAGCCTCAAATCTGAAACATCTGCAAAGTCCATGTACAATAGCTAGCTGATTTCCCAGGTCAGTGCCTTACCTTAGGGCATTTTGACAGAACTTGAAAATTACTATCAGAACTTTTGGAATAATCACGCATTCTCAATGAAACATGCTAAAGAAGAGTAGAAAGGCTGTATTTATCTAAGAAGGAATCAGATGACTGTTTGAAGCTTGGATTACTAAAGGCTCATTAGATTGAATTTAAAAAAAAGGGTTTTAAAATGTATTAACATCCACATTTCCCTCAGGGCCCTTCACCCCAATCTCAAGTATCATCTGACATTTATTTATTTATTTATTTATTGCTTGCTCGCCTCCCTGTTTCCATGTCAAATTTAATTTGGGACAAAACTGTTCCATGTTCCATTTCTGATGACAGATAGAAAATCCACATGAAATATTAGATTAAGTTCAAGGCTAGGAGGCAGGGTGTTCTAAGATGGACTGGCCAGAAAACAAGTATTGTGCCCTGCAAAAAATTGAAATTTCAGATTTTTTTTTCAATTTGCAGCAGAATGCAACTGAGATTTTGAAATTTTCTAGAAAAAAAAAATGAGTGAGACTATACCCCAGAAGTTAGGGCACTTACCTAGCATGTGTAGGGCCTCATCTGATGGATTTGGGTTCAATCAAGGTTTAGAACCTACATCCCAGATGAATGTCCTAATCTGAAGGACATTGGATATTCTGGGGTGAGTTGCTCTGTCCAGAAATTCCATCCTGGATCTATGAACATTTCCCAGTGAAAGTTCAATTGAATCTGATACATTTCCGTGAATAGTTTTTGTTTGTTTTGTTTTGTGTTGACAATTCTCAATTTTCTGACAAAAGACTTTTTGTGGAAAATTTCCTGACTAGTTCTAAATCTGTTCATAACTCTGCTATTAACTGGCCCTAATATTGTGCTTATATAATACTTTACAGATATTAAGTATGTTGAAGTAGGCAAGCATTATTACTTTACAGATGGGGAAAACAAAGACTGAGAGATTGAGACTTGACCAAGGTGGCAAGACTTTCAGAAACAGGATTACAACAGTCCTGGTCTGTTGACTGCTAGGCTTATGCCTAAACCAACAGATCATGGTTCTTTTCATCAACGCGTCACAATCTTTCTGAATTTCAGTTTCCTAATCTGGATTATATTTATATGCAACCTCCTTCTGGCTCTTGATATCTTAAACTCTGTATACTTTCTCATCTTGGATATGGTAAATATTTCCCCATTTTACAAATAAAAAGATGCAGGTTCAGAAAAAAAATTAGTACTCTTATCCAGTAGATTAGCTATAGGGATTGGAGTCAAAACATTCTTTAGTTAAAGTTGGGGAAGACATTTATTGATGGTGGCATTGGGACTGGGGTAAGAGCAGGTGAGTTTCTAAGTGGTGATAAACAGGCCTACAAATTTACACTAATTGTAAACTCAACTCTAAAAAATGAAAGTTCATAGTTTCATAATAAGCTGTAATAACAAATATTGATTGGAAAAGATGCAAAAGACAGAATTAGTCCAAACAAAAGGTCCAGTGTAACTCAAGGACTGTTAAGATCGTGTCTGGTAAACAAGAATAATGTGGGATCAGAACTAGTGAACCAAAAATGGTGTTGGAAATTAGGCCTAATTGATGGGCAAAATAATGAAGGGATGGGCTATTCCTCAAAAAGAGACTTTGAGAGGAAAATTGGTGGATGAATAGAGGCTACTGCAATGCCAGCTTACTGGAAGACTAAAAAAAGGGCAGGAGTGACCTTCACCATCATGGCTGCCACCATTGTCTCCTGGGACTCTTGGCTCTTCTTCATCCTAATCCTGTGAGATATTCTGACCAAACTGAGCAGCAGAGAGGGAGCCAGATGATCTCACCACCTCTACCAGTGCCAGCTGAAAACAAACACCTGGGGTGTTCTTTCCCTTAACTAATGTGTTCTTTTCCTTACCCATTTTATTTCTTCTCTTTCCTATACCTCTTTTTCCTTCTATCTAATAAGTCTGGCCTAGCTGGCCAAGAATGCATATTTTGCAACACTACCACAAGTCTGTGACCAGAAATGCAGCTAAATGCCATACCCTAAATAGCCTGATGCTGATACAAGTTTACCAGGTCTCAGACTGGCTAATAAGACCACGCGTTGTGCCTGTGTTTCTTTCCCCAGGAGTGAGGATGCAAGCGAAATTCCACATCAGAGACAGAAGCTGCATTTTCTCTCTCTATTATTCTTTTCTTTCCCTTTTTGAGTGTTCATCTTGATTTGCGTCTTAGAAACGGGACTGGACTTTAATAGCAGCAGCAGCAGCAGCAGCAGCTCCAGCCTATCTAACTTCCTCTTTTCCACAAAAGGACAGTTATTACTGTCTTTAATACAGTCTATTAGACTGTCAAACAAAGTGTGTGTGTGTGGGGGGGGGGAGAGGTTCCTCCTGAAAGCTGTCTCCAGCTAAAGGGAACAAGGGATGTTATTAAAATAAAAGCTTTATTTAATGCTTTACAGTTCAAATGCTTTAACTATTTTCCCTTCTTTTCTGTATCTTTAAAAAAAAAGATTAAAAGGATGTTTAGAGGGTATGTTTGCGATGGTATTAAGTAGGCTGATCTATCTGTATACCAAACCATATTTAAAACGGTTTAATGTTGGACAGTAAATGGTTTATGTTAACACTTTTCACTTTTTGGATCCATATATCCCATCTAAATTAATACAACAGCATAAACATCTTCCTGTGGTGTTTTTGCTAAAACTTTTGTCGTAAATTATCTCAGGGTAAGGTGGTGGTGGTTGTTGTTTTTAAGTATCGGTTTTCATATGCTTTTAATATTTAAATTGTATATTTAAATTGTAACTTTCAAAAGTTATAACCACTACAACTTGGTTATAGAAAAAAATATTCCACTTGGAAAGGTCAATAGCCAGAAGCTAAGAGGAACTGAAGTCTCAAATGCATTTGAATGAGAATGTTGACATTTTTGCTGTGTATGTTGGCTAAATGTATGGCCTTGTTTTTCTTTTCTGTCTTAATAAAAGAGAAAAGAAATGGTTTTAGAATTCTATTTTTATCTTGAGAAATTTATTAGATGCTGCTAGTGCTTTATTTGTTTTGGAGGTTTTTTTGTTTGTTTTGCTTTTTGGTGGGCCAGGTCATTTGGTTTGATATTTTTAGCTTAAAATATTTTGCCATGCTGTAAACGTTTAAGTTAGTGACATTTGACCCTCTGATTTTAGAATTAGGCAAAAGACTATCTCTGGCACTATTGAACTGTGAAATTCACCCTTCCTCAGCGCAAAATATAAGTGGAGGGACTGAGGGAACAAAATTCAAACCCCAGTTTTTTGCCCAGAGTGCAGAGCAGCTCCACACTTCCTCTGTGGCTGCTATTCCAGAGCATGTGCAACCTCTGTGCTCTCCTTATTTTGAGGGTCTTTGAACATAAGAAAACCA